TGAAACCTTAAACCCTAAACCCCACACCTAAAAACCCTAAACCTCAAACCCTACACCTAAAAACCCTAAACCTCAAACCCTACTTCTGACTGTGATGTGGATGTTGCAGACGGAAAAAGGAGCTCAAAAAAAAAAAAACCCTACACCTAAAAACCCTAAACCTCAAACCCTACACCTAGAAACAACAATCCTATACCGAATGCCCTCTAAGCGACGCCGCAAAGCAAGAACTCAAGGCCGCAAGCTGGTCTACAAAGCTATCGGAGGCGGGGCTTTGCGCGGTTTAGGGTTTAGGGTTTAGGATGTAGGGTTTAGGGTTTAGTTTAGGATTTACGGGCTAGGGTTTAGGGTTTAAGGGTTTATTTAGGGAGAGGAGGTTCTTCCCAGACTGTTGGGAGGATCCTACGGTTCCTAAAAGGTGCCCTTTATAGTAGTACATGGTCCCAAATTAGGGGGTCTATCTTTTTAGATCTGTTCGGGCGTCTGGGTTGGTGTTAGGGACTATGCGAGTCAGAACTTATATGGCTTAGTGCCGGTGCTTAATAGGTTTCAGGGGTTTCTACGATTTGTCATTTGGGCGAGTCCCTTTTTTGATAGCACAACAATGGTCAGGGTTTCGGGTTTCGGGTTGAGGGTTTTGGAGGGAGGGTTGGTGAGCAGCCGTTGCATGGCTCCGCCAGAGGCTTCGTAGCTACCAGGGCAATTTGTGTTCTTAATGAAAAGCTAAGTCCAGAATCCCCAAGAACCACCATCGAAACCTTGTAGAACATGGAAGAGTTAGTTTAAGAACCCCATACACCCGCGACAGAATCCTCATGGATCTTTTCTGGAAAAGCTTATGTTAAAAAGCCGCGTAGAACCACTGTAGAATCCGTTTAAAGCGCATCTGCACATTTAAATCAAGAGCCCCATAGACCTCGTTTAGCGTAAACCCTACTTGGATGATCATGGCACTTGGTAACCAGAGTTATAACAGCTATGAACAAGGTAACTATAGCTATGACTACTTATAAGCCCAAGCATGGTACTTAAAAGCTTCCTAAGCTCCATGATCCTCCAAGTAACCCAGACCCTACGCCTCTATAGTGCCTTAGACCCTAATTTGTGACTTTACTAAGTCCCATGATCCTCTAAGTGCCCTAAACCCCTAAACCCTAACTCCTAAACCCTAAACCCTAAATCCTAAGCCCTGAACCCTGAAACCCTAAAGCTCTAAACCCTGAACCCCTAAACCCTCAAGCCCAGTAGTACCCCTAGACACCCCTTGAGCCTTCAGTCCACCCCCTATAAATTTAGAGTTTGGGTTTAAGGGTTTAGAGTTTAGGGTTCAGGGCTTGGGGTTTAGGGCCTAAACGTACCCCTATAGATCCTTTAAACCTATCTACTGTTGATGGATACAAATCCTGCATTACCTTCGGGACCCTAGGCTATGGGAAGTGTGGTCTATTCCTTATTATGGGTAATGCAGGATTTCTATCATCAACCCTAAACCCTAAACCCTAATACTCCTGAAACCCCTAAACCCTAAAACCCCTAAAACCCCCAAACACGCCTTAAACCCCTAAACCCTTAACCC